CCCTCGCCTCCAGGCATAGCGAAGATTCCTGGTATACAGGGAGTATGGCAGGGGCAGTCCGGCGTCCAGTGCTCCCAGGTTGCAGAAATAAACCCTTCAAGCTATGGGCAGCCTCATTTAAATTAAAGCATCTTTGAGGCTGCTATAATTTATGCCAGCCATCGAGGGTCCATAAGGGTGAACTAAAGCTACCTATGCAGTCTCCTTCCTCCATTCTTGCACTTCATGCAGCTCAGCAGGACCAGAGGATATGCACTATTGTGTCTGTGCAGAGAGAGAAGAGAGGTGGCCTTCCTCTGTTGTATTAGGTATCAAAGGCAGGATGTTTATTTGTAATTTATGTTGTAGTTGTGCCTATTGGCTTCAATCAGGGTGGGGGTCCTGTTGTTTTAGACACTGTTCAAAAATCAAGGACACGGTTTCTGCTCTGACAATATAAACTTTCAGTGATTTCATTTGAGTATGGCTGCTTCTGTGTGGTGCCCATAAGACTCACTGAATTGTGGCTTACAGCATGGATTTCAATAATGAGTGCAGCGATTCCTCCCCATCTATTTAATATTTTTGATCCTTTAAGGAAACCTCACAAATATTAGTTCCACCTGTGTAGTTCCAAGTATATTTATTAGCCTTCACCAGTAAATTGTTCACAGGAAGCGATGGATTTTGTGGATTATGATGAGAGAATTCCATCAACCTGAATTTTTATCTGTATTCTAAATATCTATTATGTTTATTATTGAAGTGCCAGCAATGTGCTCCATGCTGCACAAGGCACACAACACAGACAGTTGTGTACAAATCATTTTCCTCTCCTTCCTTCCTCACCATACTTGTTTACAAACTGTCTGACCATAGCACCAGGCTATAAAAGTTGCCAACTAAATAGAACCAAGCAGCACTGATGTTCATGTACATCCTTCCCATGCTCACATGGCTGATACCCCACAACACAGCTTCATGGCAATCTGTGTTGAAAGTGCCCATGCCCACTTTCAGACAACAGGGCAGGAGTGTGCCCACAGGCTTTGAATGATAAGATGATGCAATAAATAGTCAAAAGATGGGAGAGCTGGCATGGAAGGCAAACTGAACACTAGGAGCTGCTCTGTGTCACTGGAATTAGTGAATTAGTGCCAGTGAAATCCAAAAATAAAACAAAACAAACCCCTTGAGTTCTGGAACACGATTCTGCACTGTGTGACCATTTCTCTGGGAGAGTGTTGGAGGGAAGGAGATGTAAATAGAAAGAGAGAGAGTTTTTTTCCCATATTGTTCACAATAAACATGTTTGTTCAAGAAAAAAAGAGATGAAACAAAACATCGTCACTGTCTAATCTTGAAGCCTAATGTGCTGGAGAAATTGTTCAGGCACAGTTCATCCTTAAGAAAAGATTTCCTTGTCATTCCATGAGATTTGTGAATCTTTGAGTTATCTGTCATGTCGATGCCACACAGAAATATTTATAGGCTTTTTGGTTACATGCAATTTACTTTCTGGAGGGACCTGAGCTATGAAATTCAGTTCAGGATCCAAATATCCCAAAGAATAAAGAGGTTTGGATCTAGTGGCCCACTTTGGGCCATCTCTAGTTTGTTTGGCCTCCTTCCCTGTTCCTTCATTTCCTCTGCCTGCTGAAATTGCATGATCACTCTGCCTGTATTAGTCTCCTATTATAATGCTGCAGCTACATGTTCAGGTGACTGAATAATAATTTCACATACATTAGGTCAAAGAATTAATGTACATTGTGCCATTTACCATTCAGATTGTCTGAAGATCAGATATAAACCTAGTGTAGGTCTAATTTTCATAAGAGAGCCCCTGATGTGTAGCAGCCATCATAATGCCCAGTCCTTCACAGTGACTATGAATCTGACATGATGTGATTGTCTCTTTCAGCTGAAATGCCTTGATTAGAATTTATTTGTGTAATTTAAACTACTAGCAAAGTTTCACTCAAGTAAACGGCTGTTGAACACCTATCTAGCAAATGGTACCAATACAAGTTTAGTCATAGGCCTTACTAAAGTCAGCAGGAGCTGTGCAGCTAAAACCTTGCACACTTGCTTTGCTGAGGCAGTCATAGGTGATTTGAGTATGCAGCCATTCTGTTCTATATACCAAGTCCATCTATTTTGCTGGATTACCATGGTTCAGGTCCTCCTCTAGGTTACACATGGTCAGCAGCTTGAGAGAATTATAAATACTGCTCCTACCCAAAATGGTTTTGAGAACCTGCTTCAAATACCTTGATAACGTTTTAAAAGATGCTAAAGAGATTATATGAGTAAATCACTTGCCCATGCCTTCTTTCTGTGCACATATGTATGCAATCTGTCTGAGCATGCAAACGGGCAGAGGAAGTGATCTCTGTCTTCAGGGGGGGAGGTTGTTGCAGCTGAACTTTGCAGTCTAGTGGGTGTCTCACATGAAGGGAGGTGATACATCAGTACATTTGTGAGTTGATTACAAATATCTTTTTTTCCTGTGTCTCTCTTTTAGGTCAAAGTGAACACGGTGACTTCTGTGTGGGGCTGAAAGACCTTTCAAAAAACTTGTTTCAGGATGGCCCCATGTGTTCTACAAACAGAAAAAAAAACCCACCAACCTTTGTGTTTTAAAAAATGAGCATACACAGAGACAGAGAAACAAAAGGTGCATTCGACCTCTCTTTCCAACAAGTACAGGCAGAGATGTACATTACCCCCTTCCTGGATTTCCTGAATACACAAAAACAACTGCCAGACCTTTGGAAGGTTCAAAAGGAGAAGCATTAGTGCCATCTGCTGGCTATTACGTGTGTTTACTACCTTCATTCTTTTTAATTGAGTTATGAAATTATTTCATCTAATTGAGTTCTTTCTGGGACCACTTCAAGTAGCACCACGTCTCCTTAGTCATTACAATATTTAAAAAAATACCATGATGACCTTGTAACAGAAGCCAATAGACAGCAAGTTGTTTGCCCTAAAGGCTGTACAGTACATACTTGCCTTAACCCAACTAAATTGCACATCAGAGAAACTCAGTGCAGGCTTACTGAAGCGACTTCCTTTAGATTCAACATGCTGCTCTTAACTCTGAAAGATTGTGTGTGTGTGTGTGTGTGTGTGTGTGTGTGTGTGTGTGTGTGTGTGTGTGTGTGTGTCAGGGGAATAGGCTCTGTTGCTCAGCAGCACCAGAGCGACCGTGTATGAAAACTGCCAGCTGTCAGAGAAGTGCTTTACTAATGAGCCTTCACAGTGGTCAAGAAAACAAACAATTTATAACGCTCTAAAAAAAAACCAAATAGAGCTCTGGGGTTGGGAAAGGGGCAAAGGGAATCCCTCATTAAACCAATAACTGAACCTTTCAGAAATAAACACCAGAAACAGTGTTTCGTAACCCCACTGGTTTTATTTATTACACTGTAGGTGCTTTTATAACTACTCTAAATATACCTTTTATTAACTAAAGAGACATCTGCAGATTTCTATCAACAGAGGCCAGCTGAATATGTATTAGCTACGTTTACTCTTTTATATCTAATTTCAGTTGAAAACCCTGTAAGTAAGCATTCTTTTTTCTAATTGCACCAGAAGGGAGTTAACTTTTTTTTTTTTTTTGGATGGTTGGTGTAGAGTAGAGAGAGACTAGCTGCATTGGTGAAATATTGGAGACCTTTTTGTGGTATATTTGGGGATATGTTGTGTGTTAGAATGTGTATTTTATCTTCCTGTATTATTGTGGCTGAAAAAAAACCTGTGCTGTTATGTAGTTGGCAACAAGATGCCTTTGGGGATTTTACTTAGTAGGTCAATGTGCTTATGACATATTCTGAACTCATAGGAACGTTTGTTTTATTCTGAATTTGATCTGTATTTTCAAGCACTTAGGCAGCTTTCATTAGGAAAAAAAATATTTTGCTCAGGCTTTTCAAGAACTTGAACTGTCATTCTTTCTTTGCTCAGAATCTGCACAGACAAATACATATGCCTGCCACATACACCTGAAAGCCACCTGTCCTTGAGGCATGAGGGTTCAGTGCTTGGAAAGGTACAAGTCATCACAAAGTTACTCTTGTCTTAGTTTGACAAACCTTCACAGTCTCTGTGGTTTATAGGTTCTGTTGCCCTGAGCACTAACTCTACTTATCCATTATTATAGAAATTGGCACCCTTTGCTGTGTATGCATGGATGTAACATGTCACAAACAATAAATCTGGATAATGACAGTGTGGCAAGTATTTCCCACTGAAAATAAGATATAAGACAGGCTTAGGAACTATATTTACATTAATTCTGTAAGATTTTCTCTATATGTGTGTGTGTGTGTATGTGTGCATGTATGTATGTATATATAATACACACCTACATATATTGAGGGAAGCTGTATAACATTTTGGCTTGAACATGGGGCTAAGAGCCAGGATTTCCTGATTTTTAATCCCGGTTTCTGACAAGCCATGTGACTACAGACAAGTCACTTAGGCCCTGGACCAGCAAACCACTTTAAATGCTTAATGTCTTTTGCTAAATTGGGGTCTTCAAAAATTTTCCTATGTGGGTAACTAAGTTTAGACTCCTAATCTATATTTAGTAGAGCTGGCTAGAAACTGGAATTGCCCATTCTATGAAAAATTCTTACAGCTCAAACTCTTTTTCATTATGACTCAGAAAAAAAAAAGCTGAAATTTCTGACAAATATCTGACAAATTTTGAGTTGGGCCAATTGAAACATGTTGTTCCTGTTGAACCATTTTGTTTTGATCATGCTGATTTATTTCATATTAACTTTTATATTAGATTTTAAATGTTTACAAATGCAGATAAATTAAATATAAAAGTCCAGATTAAATTAATCAAAATGTATAAAATAATGAAAAAGTCAAAAACAATTCATTTTCACTTCTTCCCATCAAAAATACTGTTCCAGTGAAACATTTTGAATTAAACACAACTGCATTTTTCATTTACATTTTTTTTTACCAGCTCCAGTATGTAAGCACCTAAATTGTGGCTTATTTTCAAGGATAATGAGCAGTCATGCCTTGCATTGACATTCCATTCACATTGAATGGGAGCTATATTTGCTCTGCTCCTTTGAAAGTTAAACAGTTTATTTAGGTGCCTCAGCATGGATTTAGGGCCCTAACTTTAGGTACCCAAGTTAGAAAATTTGTCCTTAACATCACTCTGTTTCAGTTTCCCCAACTATAAAATGGGAATAATAATAACTACCTCACACAGTGGTTGTGAGGATTAATTAATGTTTGTGCAGTGCTTAGAATTACTATGTAAGTGCTAAGTATTAAAAATAATGTGTGTATATTTATATATTGCATATGTACACACATATGTATACATACACTCAAATATATAAAGATATATACACATATATATAGTAGGCATTCATATTCCTGATTAAGTTGCAGTTAAAGCACTAGTATTTCAGGACTGTTGACTACTACACTAAAGGATGATGTCTTGGAAGCAGTTTGGAGCACAGTAGTGTGAAAATATCTGGAATGACATTTTTGATTTGTACAGCTGTATCCGCCTCAAAATCCAGTAAAGAATGTTATTTTTCTAGGCTGGGTTTTTGTTATAAAGCTAAATATTCAGAAGGCAAGAGTTACAATCCAAATGTGTCTTTTTTTTTCCTTTTTGCGTTTGTTAATTCTGAATGTATTTTTAACAAAAGTGATTTTTTTTACTTACTAGTGTAATTTGCATTAAAAAATAAATGAAAAAAATATATAGGCTTCCAAGCTATTCATGGCCCATCTGGTGCTATTCACAATTTGCAAGAAACTTAGAATTACAGTTCCTGGCCGACAACAATCCAGCATGAGGACTCCTTTTAAATTTACAAGATGCCGCATGAATGTGTCAGTGCTGAAAAGAAATTGCCAGGTCATGACATCATTTTAACTGAGTCATAGGTAACACGTATTTTCATTATCTACTGACACTAAAAGGATCCTTTTACAAGGCTCACTGCAACAGATGCATTGTCATTTAGAAAATGTCTTTTTATTTTGTCTACTCATCAGGAATGTTAAGTCTGTGACAGGTTTACAGTTGCCAACAGTGCTAAGTACTGTATTAAGTAATCCTTGCTAAGAGGGAGCTATGTAATATGGATTTTTCCACTGCAGTTCATTTATTAAAATGCTGCTTCATTGCCCATACAGTGCAATAACACAATAAAATGAAAACCTGACTTAAGCAACCATGTCAAGGGCCTCACAAAAATTGGTTACTTAGATTACATGCTTAATAAAGGTGGCCCAGAATTGTTTCTTAAGATAGGCGATTGCTTAAGAGTAGCCTTTTACATGGGTATTTTAATCCTTTCATTATTATTCTGTGCATACCCTCATAGGTACTACTGTGTATAAGTTACAATTCAGATACGTGAGAAGACAAGCTCTGTGACCCAGAAGGCTGGTTGTGGTACTAAGTTATTGTATAGCATTTTGGAAGGGGTTGGGCCAGACTATGAACAGTGTTCCCTCTAAACTCCATTGCAGTGCGCTTCACAGGTGATTAATCAGCCCCACCCAGTCAGAGGCTCAGGGCTCCTTGCACGGAGCTGACTGACTGGTTGGGGCTGATTAATCACCTAGGAAGCTGTGCTGCCACACAGTTAAGAGGGAACACTGACTATAAACTACAAATGCTATACACAGTGATTCCTGGTTGTATCTGGATGGGATTTAAGCTATTAACTCTGAAGTTGAATCTTTTAATCTTTTAAATATTGACAGCCACCCCGTGAAAACAGTGATGCACCTGCTCTCATACACATGAACTTCTATATATCTTCAGAATGCCAAACAAAATTCTTTGTAAAATCAAACCTGAAGGCCTGTATCATTTGTATTTTCCAAAAAGTATTAGTTGTCTGTATTTTTCTTTTTAAACTTTATTAATCAGAACACAAGTTTGTTCTTGAGAAGATGGAAGGCTCCATCTATAAATTAATAGTGATGTTTGTTTTTAAGTGTAACCCTTATAGGGTATGTCTACACTATGGGATAAGGTTGAATTAAGATAGGCAACTTCAGCTACGTTAATTGTAGCTCAATTCAACTTTTGGAGCTGTCCATACTGCAGGAAGTTGAAGGGAGAACTGTCCCTTACTCCTCGTGGAAGCATCGACCGGAGTGCCCTCTTCACTAGACCCACTAATTCAAACCCTGGAAGATCAAGAGTGGCAGCTTCGATCTCCTCTGTAGTGAAGACATACTCATAGGTGGAATCTAACCTGGGATCTCTGGCTTAGTGCATAAGCCTCTACTGCATGAGCTAAAAGCCAGCTGGCTCTCGGCTAAGGCTGTAGAGCAAACTCATTCTTTCTCTCTGTAAGTGATGTAAGTACCACTACTTGGGACAGTGAACCATGCTCAGAAGGTGTGTGTGAGTTACATAAGCATTTTCTAATAGTAAGCTTAAGCCGGGCTGAAAGCAACTCATGCGTTCATCAGGTTTGTATTCTAGTCATTCCCTTGTTATTACAACACCTTCGTATTGTATATGGACTCTGACTCAATGCTGAAGAACACTGCTGGTTAGATGTGCTGCTGGCAGCACTATATCAATTGTTCCATTACAACTTGAGAACAATGTAGATTGGATGCTGGATACACACATCAATCCATTCCAGAAAAGTGTATGTACTTTTAAATGTATCTAGTTCTTGTGACAAATGCACTTTAGACTGAAATAATCTGTTTATACATAGAACAAATATCATATTGACTGAGTGCTGGCTAGCCTCGACCTCAGAATTCCAATAAGAATGCCAATCAGCACCAACTGGATTTATACATCTGTTCACTAGACTCTGGACTAAAGCACTGATGTGCCTGAATCTGGACTGAGGCAATTGGTTCATGGCAAAAAAGTGATCCCATTCATCTGTCAGATGTTCTCCATTGTTTGGCTGCATCATAATGTTGTGCATGGATCATATCGGCATGTTTTGTAACTTGGAGAACGATGGCACAACATTAATGCTATATAACAACTAGCCATGTGGCTAAGTGATACACAATCAAAATATTTTTCTGCAAACAATGGGGGGAAATCCTCAACTATTACACAAAAACATTAGTTCCTGATAATATTGTATATATATTCCTTACATGTATCTTGCCACTAACTGCCTTTCCAGAAATCCAAAGTGGAAGGTGCTTTATCTAGGCATCTGGCTCCTAAATCAAATGTAAAGTCTCTCTTTATGGGCCTGGTTCAAGCTAACTGAAGTTGTAGACAGTCATTCCATTGATATTGGTTGACTTTGGATCAGACCCTACCAAACATGCTACATTCTAGATTGCTCATTAAACAACCCAGTCATGCTGTCTACACAGTCATATTCCCCGCATGTCAACATTGACCTGTCCTTTGCTTGGCCTGCCCCTCACATAGTGACTAAGGGGCTGTGGGCCCTTAGGGAAGCCTCACTTTGTGAAAAATAGGGAGTAGCATCCATCTTGCTGGGGGAAGTCTGTGGATTCCATCACGTTGACATTAATGGTGGATAGCAGCCATTTTGGGTAAGGGAAAAAACTTCAAAGCAATTGAAGACAGAAATCAATGAGACTCGCAATAAAACTTCAAGAGTTGGCAAAACTATAATCACAATAACAATCAAGGACTTTCTTTTTCTCTAAAGTAAATCCTTGTTGGAATCATTTTCAAACATTTGCTAAAAGTTATCGTTCAGTGATCACAAAAAACTCATAAATAGCAATGATTACAAAATGAACGAGTGGGAAAATATATTAGTGAACAAGTTCACTGAATCAGACTCAAGCTTCAATCAGATAATATATAGGCTGCTTTTTGTGCTTTCCCTCACACACACACACACGCACACACTCTCTCAAGTGATTGGTTAAGGTTTGTATACATGTGTGGGAAAGCACTTTTATTCATGTGCAATTGAGCATATTTATATATCATTGATATTCATGCAACTGTATGTATTTACATTAGAAGTGCTGGCACCTCACCCTGCACGTACTCTAGCTGTGTGTGCTTGGTAATGAAGGCATTCTAAAACTACCTTGAAATCACTTTCCACTTCTCCCTACTATTCCCTAGTTGATAAATAGACCTCAGTGCTGGTGGGCCATGGCCATGACTCAGGCACTTTTTGGTCAGGACAAACCTGGATAGTGCTGCTACACCACACACCAGGTTGCAGTGCCACTCGCTCAGATTTAGAGGGAGTGTGGGTGTAGGGCTCTAAGATCAGAGAGGTCAAGATGCTGGTGTGGGGAAGGGATGGAGCCTGAGAGGAGAAAAGAAGGGTCAGGCATAGTGGAAAATCTCTCTCTCTCTCTCTCTCTCTCTCACACACACACACACACACACACACACACACACACACACTTTAAATACAGCTCCTCCTCCAGAGAGCTTTAAAGACCCAGCCATTTTTTTCAGACATGCATTCTGTTTATAAAGGTTAGGCTCAGTACCTGTGGAGAGGAAAGGTGCAGGGAGGACCACACAGAGAGGCAGGAGGCATGTGGGGGCACCACATTTAGCTATTAAAATTGTGGCAGGGAAATCGGGGGTGCCTCCTGAGTGCAACCATGAGTCACCTGTGGATCCAATCTCAACAAAAATTACTCCATGTGACTTTATTTGGAATTCAGTTTCTGTGTTTACTACCTGTCTGTAACATTCCCATATTGTTAGTAGGTAGCCCTAGTTATATTTATGACAGCAATGAGGAACCCTAGACATGGACCAGAACTACATTGGACTAGGTACTGCACAAAGCAGAAAAAAGAAAGTTCCTGTTCCAAAGTGCTTAGAGTCTGTGTAATCTAGGCACTTTACCGGTGGGGTTACCAACCCTTCAGGATTATCCTGAAGTCTCCAGGAGTTAAAGATTATGTCATGTAATGAAATCTGCAGGAATTCATGCAACCAAGGTTGCCAGTCCTATTTACAGTAGAAATAGCAAAATGCAATAGCTGAGTTTACAGTCTAATATTGGATAGAGATGTAATGCAAAAAAGAGGATATAACACAAAAGTAGGAAAAGAATTTGAGGTGCAAGAAAGTAGATTATAGCTATAAAGGTATATTGTTTATTTGTATAAACGTGCACACTATGATAGTTCAGTTATATTTTAATATGAGCAAAATACGTTTGCTTGTTCTAGTTATTTATTTTCATATTGGCTATGTTGTGCTTTGAGGCCCCAAGATTTGGTTTAATTAGGTTAAAGTTTAGCATGCACTGGTGTGTTTTTACTATTATGTCAACAGCATAGGCTCTTGGCTATGGCAGTTAAATCAAAATACATTAAGAATGAGATGATCAAAGTATTACAGAAAACAAACCATTTTTGAAAAATCTTCACTAATTGGTAGATAATTACCAACTGGAAAACAAGGACAAATGTGATGTCATAAGGGGTCCAGTCTGCTTTAGCTGTTTTCCTTAGAGATGTGCCTATGTTTTATAGGTCACTTTTTAAAACTGGAATAATATGAACTTCATTGTCACATGAGATCAGTATTGTGCCTTATAGATTAAATTCAATCCTGACCTGGGGAAAGGTCTATATCACTACTAAAGCCCTGTTTCTAGTGTTAAGTAGCATATATAGTTCATGCTGACTTTGTGAATTCACTCTAACAGTTCACTTCCTAGATTTGGTGAATCAGGCTCAGATTACTCAAAGTGTACAGGGACTCTAATCTCAGGAGGGTCCCTGATTAGCTAGTTGGTTTTTAACCAGCCTCACTAGTTTTCCTTCTTCACTGCGGGTTGCAATGTGAACAAGGGAGGTTCACATGTAACATGTAAGTTACACGTCGAAAGAAGTCCTAGGCCATTCCAATCATTGCTACATGAGGCCACCAACAGATGATTCCACTACAACCTTCAATTGCCTTGGCCCCTTGGAGTGCTGCTGGCACAATACCCGGTTCTCATTCTCTGGGATGGCCTCAGTTTCCAATGTGGCAGATCCTACGCCACTTGGCATCAAAAAGCAGGCTGGACCCAAGGATTGCCAACAAGGAGGACTAAGGAAGTTTAGGGAGTCAGGGGCTTCTGAGAGCTTGGGAGGAAGGGGTAGGGGGTTCCCTGAACTGAGTTCTTGGGAAGGGGTGGTTGTAGGGGTCAGGACAGGATAGGGGTCAAGCTGATTTGAGGGGAAAATGCCTAAAAGGGGAAGAGGAGGGTCA